ACCCTTCTATCAACACTTGCAAAATACTTTTTCATACTTTTACATTAAGTGAATATTAGAGCTAACAAAATGTATCATGAATAGCGCTCAGCTCTTGTGGCATTTTTAACTTATATGCCACTAGTCCAATTCTCTTAGATACTTCAAATGGACCAATATATCGGGGACCCAATTTACCACTTCTTCCAAAGCGCATTATACCTTTCCATGGTGAGACTTTTAAGAGTACTTTATCTCATTTTGAAACTCTAATGGTTTCCTTCGGTCGTCAGCATAACTTTTCTAGCGATCTCTTGCAGCCTACAGTCGATCCTTGATAGTTACAATCTTGTCAATAGTCTCCTAGATAACATCAGGCCTAGTTAATTGCCGATCGCCAATTTCTAGCCAACTAAGCGGAGATCTGCACTTACGTCCGTATAATGCTTCATAAGGCGCACACTAAATACTGGCATGATAGATGTTATTGTATGCAAATTCGACTAACGGAAGGTGCATATCCCAGCTTCCACCAAAATCTATGGTGCATGTGCGTAACATGTCTTCCAGTGTCTGGATTGTTCTTTCCGTCTATCCATCCGTTTGAGGGTGGTATGAAGTACTTAGATCTAGACATGTACCCAACCCTCCTTGAAGTGATTGCCAAAATCTTGACGTAAATCGACTGTCCCTATCCGAGATAATGGAGATAGGTACTCCATGCCGAGTAATTGTAACAACCCACATATTCTATGTACTGATAATCCACATCATCATACTCATAACACAAAATATAACATCGTTTACAAAATACAGATTAACAAAATACTTTCTTATAATACATTTTATAATAACTAAACGTTATTCATTCTAAACTTTTCCCTTGCCTTTATCTTGTGAGGTAGGAAGACCTGCAAAACAGGTTAGTCCAACAACTGGGCGTTAGACCAAAAAGGTCTAGTGAGTGTATAATTCTCAAACGAACAATATACTTTCCAAACAACCAGTTCAGAATCAAACCTGTTCTGACACATAAATTTAATTATGTCTCTCGCGGTTACACCGCCATTACATCTCTCTCTCTCTCTCGCGGTTACACCGCCATTACATCTCTCTCGCGGTTATACCGCCAGTATATCTCTCTCTCGCGGTTACACCGCCATTACATCTCTCTCGCGGTTACACCGCCATTACATCTCTCTCTCGCGGTTACACCGCCATTACATCTCTCTCGCGGTTACACCGCCATTACATCTCTCTCTCTCGCGGTTACACCGCCATTACATCTCAAAAACACTTCAAAAATATTCCAACACATTAACCGGATTTGAAGTCCGGTCAACCTTGTCCGGTTAACACTTAAAATTATTTCTWACATATTTGTCYGGATAACAAATCCGGACAATACACCKTCTAAAGCTTAACCGATTTAACACTTAGAAATATTTCTATTTCAATCCGGATAAGAGTTCGGACAATACATTGCCCAACCTTTGACCGGTTTAAAACAATCCGGTCAATACAAAGCCAGACTCTTCAACGGTTTAGATGAGATCCGGTCACCTCTTGACCGGTTTAGGGAGGACTCCGGACAACACTTGAGCGGTTTAAAATAAACCGGTCACCTCTGGAGCGGTTTTCTATCCGGATGAGATTGTCCGGATATTAATCCGGACACCACTTGAATGGTTTAAACAAGAATACACATAAAATGAAACAGAATTCATAATAACCAGTTCCAAATGCTACTAAATTGTATGTAAACAATTTATATCCAAAGCTTTAATACACTCACCTTTAGAAATCGAATATCAAAGCTTTTGAATCCTCTTCTTGCAATCCGTATAACTTCAGAGAAAACTTTCTAAATATAGTGTGTGTGTAAACTTTCTTCTTCACCACTTTCTATATATAGTATAGAGGAGAGGTGGTGGGCGGCACAACCAGCCGACCTCCCCCCCTTTTTTTCTTTTTTTTTAAATTAATTCTAAATTTATCATATAAACATAACACACACACATATACATACACATATATATATATATGTTAAAGAAAATCTTAAATCAAAACTTGAAACCCGACTATTACAATATCCCCTCCTTAAAAGAATTTCGTCCCGGAATTCCATTAAGTAAACATATAAGGATATTTCATCCGCATCTCCGATTCTAATTCTCAGGTGGCGTCTGGTCCCTTATGATAATGCCACTGAACCTTTACTAACCCAATCTCTTTGTTTCGTAGTTTCTTCACCTTGTAGTCAGTAATCTATTTAGGGGTTTCTTCAAAACATAATCTTTCATCTACCTTAATCTCAGGTAATGGTACTGCCACATCAGGAAGTTCTAATTTGTAGGCCATTTCCCCAATTCTTTCAATAATAAGGAATGGTCCAATGTACCTTGGACTTAACTTTCCCTTTTTACAAAAACGTACCATTCCTTTCCATGGCGATACCTTTAACATTACTCTATCACCCACTTGAAATTCAATCGACTTCCGAC